GTATGCGGCAGTCCGTAGCCACACCCCCTTCCTTGCAGAGTCTTAACAGCGGCGGGCCTGGGTGCCGCGGATCCGATTTATCTCGGTCCGCTGACTTACAGCATGAAAACATACATCTAAAGCAGCGTAAGAATCGGATCTGGGTAACAAAACAGGACGGACATCAGATCCACGACATCTGAAATCGGATATGTGCAGACGGAAACCGGATCCACCGCCACACACATCCAAACAACATTCGGATCCGTGCCAATTGGATTAGATGCGCCCAGGTTTATTTTTCGCGCGCCAGCGCAAGAGTTGAAGGCACCTCGTCTAGGTCCAAGAGGAAAAATATCGTCCTTCGGATACAAGCCTCCCCTGACCCCCTGACCCCCCACCCCGCTGGGACTTATTCAATCCGCCGAGCCTCTTGCGCCTCATCCTTCCTCCTCTTGCCTCCTGCACGCCCCATCCATCTGTCTTCCTTCCCCTTCCTCCTTCCTCCTCCTCCAGAACTTCCTTCCAACAATTCTTCACACTCGGCGTATCCCCACCAGCACGCACAGGACAAATCGCACAAGGGGAAAATCGGCTACTGGCTGAAATTAGGAACGGGTCCAAACGTTTCCAGAAGTCCGAAGCATCCACTGGATTCGCATCACAGCACTCCGAACATATCTTGAACTCCTCCCCCTGCCACTGCTGCGCTTTCAACTCATGGAGCTGCATTTGGGAGCTCCGATAACAGAACGCCTGCAACTTGCGAGGGAGACATGTGCACTCCACACTACCCTCGCAGCACAGCAGCCCCACCGCTTCTCTTGCCACCGCCTCGGCCAACGGGCCCACCCCGGCCGCACAGGAGACGCGTGGGCTCCCGGGCGGGAGTGAGCACGCGGAATGTGCAGGGCACGCGGGGCCTCCGCTCTCAGGAGGCTTGCACGCGAGGCCTCTCGCAGGACCTGAAAACCAGTAGCACGCAGCCCCCTGCCGGGGACCCTGGAGCTCATCACACGCACACGCACACACACTTTTTACGTCGGTGGCTAGGCAGAGTGGCTGCGCTGGCGGATGAGGCAACTGTAGGGCATACAATTGCAAATCAAGCCGTGGTGCACGGGAGGAGGAGGGGGAAGGCCCGGCGCGGGCAGGAGGGAGACGGAGGCCAGGCCGCTCATCACACACAGTTGCACTATGACATTAGCAGCCGCCACAAGAATGACAGCACCGTGGATTCTGACATCTTTTTTCTGCAGCTTAACGCGTTCCTTCGAACCCACAGTCGGCCTTCCCCACGGAAACTCGGTGGTCTTGAGCATTCTGTCGGCGCAATTTCTAGACCCTTGGAAGACAGGCAAAGAAGCAATGATGCCCATCAACTTACCCCTCGACAAGTGCTCGATCCAAACTTCGGTTTTTTCCTCCCACGAAACTGCGACCTCCTCCTCCTCCTCCTCCGCCACACGGAACACGTGTTTTTTGTTCCTCCTCCTCCGCCCTCTCTTCCGTTCCTATTATATTAATCGCTTCGCTCATTCCGCCGGCCCGTATTGTGCCATCGCAGGCGTTTGCTTGCGCGTTCGTGGCCTCTTGGAGCCTCGGTGGGGCCGTTTGGGGCCTCTTGGCGCCTCTTTTTAGGCCTCTTGGAGAACTCGGGAGGCCTCCAGGGGGCCTCCTGAGCTCTCGTGACGGTCTCTTGGGGGGCTTTCGGCGGGCTCTTGGCGGTATTTGTTGGTCCTCTTGGGGCCTGGGGCCTGACGTTGTTGGTCCTCTTGGGGCCTCACGGGAGCTTATTGGGGCGTCTTGGGGGTGTCTTGGAGAGTCTCTTGGGGCCTCTTTCGGGGTCCTGGGCGCCTTCTGGGGCGGAGGGCTCGATTTTTCAGTTCTCGGTTCCCTTCTTGAGCCCCTCTTGGGCCCGTCTTGGGGCCTCTTGGTCCGCCTTGGGCAGCACTTGGGCCGTCTGGGGGGCGCTCTTGGGCCGCTCCGGGGCCGTCTTGGGAGCCTCGTGGGCCGTCTTGGAGCAGTCTTGAAGGCCTCTTGGGCCCTCTTGGAGCGTCCGGAAGCGAAAAGGCCAGAACGCAAAAAAACATAGAAAAAACAAATGAAAATCAACGATTTTGGCAACTTGGGGCCCTCTTCGGAGGCCTCTTGGAAGGCCCTTGGAGCGTCTTGGAGGCCTCTTGGGCTGTCTTGGGGCCATCTGGGGCGTCTTCGGGCGATCTTTGGCCGTCTCGGGCCTCTCTTGGACCGTCTAGAAAGCTTCTCGGGGCCCTCTTGGACCGATCTGGAGCCCTCTTGGACTCCGAAACAGAACTCCGGCATCTCTGGCCCGACCTTGCCGGGACCTTGCCGGGGACTTGCCGGGGACTTGCCGGGACCTTGCCGGGGTACTTTTTGTCCGGGGACCCCCAGGGGCCGCCCCGCGCGCGCGAACTAGAAATACTGTTAACCAGGTACCGGAGATCTTAGCACGCCCTGGCCCGTTGGGCCGGCGAGTTCTTCGCCGCCTTCCCGCCCAGCCCCCTGCTGCTGCAGGTTCCTCCGTTTGCTGCTGCTGCTGCCCCCCCTAAAGCCTGCCAGCACCTGTCAGGCCCCCTTGAAGATTCCCACGACCTGAACATCGACCCGCCCCCTGGAAACCTAGTAGCCAGCCGGTGTCCCCTGGCATCATCACCATCATTATCATCAGCATCATCATCAGCACCATCAGCATCAGCAGCAACATCATCAGCAGCATCGTCAGTATCATCAGCATCCTCATCGCCATCAGCATCATCATCATCACCATCATCATCTGAAACAGAACAATCATCATACTCATCATCATCATGTCTATCGTCACCATTATCCATCTTCCATCATCCATATTTATCGACATGTATGGCATCATCACTACCATCACCAGCAGTACCATCATCATAATCATCGTCCTCCTCTTTCTCATCAGCATCATCATCATCAACCTCAACATCAATATCAACATCAACATCAGCAGCATCATCATCGGCAGCAGCAACAGCAGCATCATCAGCATCATCAGCATCATCATCACCATCCTCCTCCTCATCATCATCTCTCATCATCGGCACCATGATCATCGCGTTCATCACCATGTGCAACACTATCATCAACCGTTGTCGTATTCGTGGCCACCGTTATCACACTCGGCATCGTCATCACCATCATCACCATCATTACCATCATCACCATCATCACCATCATCATCACCGTCATCATCATCATCACCATCATCATCATCATCATCATCATCATCATCATAATCATAATCATCATCATCATCATCATCATCATCATCATCATCATCATCATCATCATGATCACCTTCATCAGCGTCATCAACACCATCATCGTCTCCATCATCCTCATCACCACCACCACCGTAATCATCACCATCATCAGCAGCACCCCCTCCTCCTCCTCCTCCTCCTCCTCCTCCTCCTCCTCCTCATGAGCATCATCAGCAGCAGCAGCAGTAGCAGCAGCACCAGCAGCACCAGCAGCATCAGCATCAGCATCAGCATCAGCATCATCGTCATCACCATCGTCGGTGTCAGCTGTCAGCGTCAGCGTCATCGTCATCAGCCTTGTCCTCCTCCTCCTCCTCGTCCTCCTCCTCCTCGTCCTCCTCCTCACCGCCACCGTCACCGTCACCGTCACCGTCAGAAGCATCAGCATCAGCAGCAGCCTCCTCCTCGTCCTCCTCCTCGTCCTCCTCCTCCTCCTCCTCCTCCACCTTGTCGTCGTTGTCGTCGCCGTCCTGCTAACACTCGAGCCTCCTCGAGCTGCTTGTCAAGTCATGGCCCCATATCGAGTCTAACATCGTCGTCTGCGTCGCCCACCTCCTCCAAAACCACCCACCTAGTGGGACCTCCCTATGATCGCGCTCTGACCAGGATTCCGAGCCGGGTCCGAAGACCCACAAGAGATCACATGAGGAGGAGGAGGAGGAGGAGGAGGAGGAGGAGGAGGAGGAGCAGCAGCAGCAGCAGGAGGAGGAGGAGAAGGAGGAGGAGGAGGAGGAGGAGGAGGACGAGGAGGGAGAAACAGGAGGAGGAGGAGGAGGAGGAGGAGCAGGCAGGAGGATGAGGAGGAGGGAGAGGAGGGAGGGGGAAGACGAGGAAGGAGGAGGAGGGATGAGGATAACGAGGGGGGAGGGGGAGGAGGAGGAGAGGGAGGAGGAGGAGGAGGAGGAGGAGGAGGAGGAGGGGAGGAGGAGGAGGCGGAGGAGGAGGAAGAGGAGGAGGAGGAGGAGGAGGAGGAGGAGGAGCAGCGAGGAGGAGGAGGAGGAGGAGGAGGAGGAGGAAGTCGACGCCAATTACGACCTCCCATCTCTCCGAGGTCGCGTTCCGACCAGAACCTTGAGTCGGATCCAGCCGTGGGCACGAGAGCGTCCCCAGAGGCACAAAACGCTCCCGAAACCGTGGGTTATCGAACCTCGACAATCAACCGACGACGTCGACAACGTCGACGACGTCGACGGCGACGGCGACTACGTTTTGAAATCCGCTCGAAATCGGTTCCCAAGTCCCTCCCGAGTCTGACCAGTCTTTCGAGCTGTGTCGAGCTGTGGCGACGAGATCCGCCAGACGCGTGCAAGAAGCCTCCGAAGTGGCGGCGGCGGCGACGGCCACGGCGACGACGACGACGACGACGACGACGACGACGACGGCGGCGGCGGCGGCGGCGACGACGACGACGACGGCGACGACGGCGGCGACGACGGCGGCGGCGGCGGCGGCGCCCCAGGAGTGGTCCGAGGAGGAGCGGCATCGGTACCTCTTGTTGTCCCTAAGAGGAGAAGGGGAAGGAAGGGGAGGAGGAGGAGCGAGGAGGAGGAGGAGGAGGAGAAGGAGGAGGAGAAGGAGAGGAGGAGGAGGAGGAGGAGGAGGAGAGGAGGGGGAGGAAGAGGGGAGGGAGGAGGAGGGAGGAGGAAGAGGAGGAGGAGGAGTAGGAGGAGGAGGAGGAGCAGCAGGAAGATGAGGAGCGGCGGCGGCGAGGTTGTCGTGCGAGACACCGCGCCCTGGTGGTCGTCGGACAGCCACGGGTGCAGCCTCGAGGGGCAGGCGCTGGGCCTGGAGACGGTGCCCCCCGGGGGCATCGGCGACGTCGCCGTGGTCCTGGAGGTGGCTGCCTCCTCCTCCTTCTCCTGATCCTCCTCCCGATCCTCCTCCCCCTCCTTCTTCCTCCTCCACCTCCTCCTCCTCTCCCTACTGGGTCTACCTGCATTCCCTCTCCTCCTCCGGCCTTCTCTGCTTTCTCCTCCTCCTCCTCCTCGCCCTTGCCTCCTCCTCCTCCTCCACCTCCTCCCCTCCCCTGCTGCTCTACATCCCGCCTTTCTCCGTCTCTTATTCTCCTCTCCTCCTCATTCCTCCTCCTCCTCCTCCTCCTCCTCGCTCCTCCACTCCTCCTCGGGTCCGCCTCATCATCCTCATCTGCTCCTCCTCCTCCTCTCCTCCTCCTCCCTACTCCTCTTCTCCTCCTCCACCTCCTCCTCCTCCTCCTCCGCCTCCGCTCTCCGCCGCCGCCTCCTCGCCTCCTCATCTACTCTCATCATCTCCTCCTCCTCTCCCGCTCCCGCGCTCCTCCTCCCTCTCCTCCTCCTCCCTCTCCCCTCCTCCACCTCTCCTCTCCTCCTCCTCCTCCTCCTCCTCCTCCTCCTCCTCCTCCTCCTCCTCCTCCTCCTCTGCCTCCTTCTCTCAAGCCATTTCGGCCTGCAGCTGGCGCGCGTGCGCGCCACGCGAGGGCCGAGGCAGCAGGGCGCGCACCATCGGCGGCGGCGGGCTGGGGCTCGCTGTACGTCGGTTCGCGGCTTGAGGGGGGCGGCAGAAGCCGCTGCTAAAGTTCCTCCTGCCCCAGTACATGACTCGGGGCCGCGGCGGCTGGAGTGACGCAAATGACCAAGCGACGTGGGGAGCTGCGTGGGGTGCGCCGTGGCGACGATCAGCCTCACTTTCAACCTCACGTTCGTCCAGCCGCAAGCCGCCCAACACCAAGGGCAAGAAGCACACGCAGTACCTGGTATGCCCGACTTGTCCAGTTGGTAGTGGCAATTGGGTTTATTGCAACAGGGCAGGCAAACCTGGATGGACCAATTGCAAGACTTGTGGTCACGTGTGGCAACTACCATCCACGTCAACTGCGCCAGCGGGAGGTCAAGCAGCTCCTGTTGCAGCAGCTCAACCAATGGTGGACCTTCTCAGGAAGCAGTACCCCACGGCCAAGGAGCAAAACGACCAGACCCGCATGGATGAGATCCTCGCAGCTTGCCCCGAGGCAAAGCCAGCTGAACCAGTCGCAGCACCAGAGTCATCAACAGGACAGAAACTCCAAGAGGCCGTCGCGGAGCTCAACCGTCTCCAGAAGCACCAAGGCAAGCTGGCCAAACAGCTCAAGCGTGCTACCGAGTACCGCAATGACGTGCTCCAGAGGATCAGCACCAACGTATCCGAGCTGGCCGACGCGAAGAAGCACTTCCAAGAGGCCAAAGCTGATGTCGGAGGAGATGCAGCTGAAGCACAGCCAGCCAAGAAACAGGACGACGCGGAGGAGGAGTTCCCGACCTTGGACGACGAGGAGTTGGCCATGCTGGACAGCAAGCAGAAAGAGGAGTATGAGGCAATCCAGAAAGAATTCCAGAAGGCCAGGCAATACATCGACGGCAAGAAGACAGCAGTCATCAACGCGACGAAGGCGCTCGACGCGGCTAAGACCATCAAGACCAAGGCCTGCAAGCGGCGTAAAGGAGAAGACGGAGCTGAAGCTAAACCACCTCAGGAACCAGCAGCAGCACCTGGCGAACAGGCAGATGCACCTGCGGCCGATGCTGGACCAGTTCAAACAGACCCCGAGGTGGAGCTCGCCAACCAGTTCGACCTCTCAGATGACGCCCAGGTCCAGGCCTACCTCGCGAAGCTGGCCCAGATCAAGAGCAGGACGAAGGTCATGGTCGCTACGCGGCAGGGCTCCTAACTACAGCCAGAAGTACGACGATGTTGAAGCCGAGATCGACGGCTTCGTATTATTAGCCTCTGCTGCGAAGGGGGATGAGCCCAGAGTGCCCACGTTTGCTGTCCAGCACGGCAAATCCCCACTCGCAGCAGAGCTCCATCGAGGACCAAGCGGGTTCGCCAGGCCGCCATGCCAGAAGCAGGTCTGGTTTGACGGCGACGCTGACTACATCATCGAGAGTGCGTCTACTCGGGCAGATGATGATAATAGCAGCGCGACGTCAATTTCTTCTCGGGGATCGTCTGCTTGCTCAAGCCCGTCGGCAGAGCCAGTCCGTGCAGGTTCGCAAGGTGCTGGCATCCAGTTCCAGACCGAAGGCAAGAACCAGCAGACCAATTCAGACGATGCGAAGCCCACCGTCACCATCTTCGTGGCCAACGTTACGCAGTACAACACGGCCGCCAAATTTTTCATCGAGGGCAAGAGCAAGCAGTACGACATCACCGCGCTGAGCGAGCACCACCTACGTGGACCAGCAGCAGAGATCGAGGCTAGCCGACTCATGCAGTACGGGTGGCGATCTCACGGTACTTGTACTCCAGCGCGGCCATCGCCACGATCCACGACGGGCACCTTAGGAGGCACATGCATCCTTCGCCTTCGTCGACGTCATCTAGATACGCGAGTACACCTGCCAGATGCGCAGGGCCACAGCATTTTCGCCAAGGATATCCAGGATATCACCATGGTGAAGTGGCAGCTCAAAGGACAGCAGATAGCAGTGATCACGGCCTACCTCACAGCATCCATCGGCTTCACGGGTGAGAATATCCGTAAGATGAAGCACTTACTTCAGCTGACAAAGAGTTTGGGCAACATACCTTGGATAATTTGTGGAGACTTCAACAATACACCACAAGAGTTTGAAGCGGCGCCTTGGCTAAGACTGCTTGGTGGATCAATTGTGGTACCTCAGCGCGTTAGCTACGCGTGCAGCAGTGGAACGGGGCGCCTCATCGACTCTGCCATCATCCCTCCAGACTTTCGGCCGATACTCAAGCAGATCCGTGGCGAGCATGAGGTACCATGGTCCCCGCACATCGGCATCGTTATAGAGCTATGGGCCCAGCCGTCGACGATCCTTATCCGCAAGCCCATGCTCCCAGCCAAGCGCCCCATACCCATGACGGAAATCCAAAGAGAGAAAGGTATCAAGCGGCAACAGCGCGACCGCGCCCAGTACAACGAAATGGCCAAGTACTTTGAAGACGACCTCTTGGACAGCAAGCTCCTGGACACGTACTACACGCAGACTGTGGCCATGCGATGCGACCAGAATATCTGGGACGAGTGCCGAGACGAGGAGGCATCTTGCCGAATCCGAGGCGCGCCGTTGTGGGTGCAGAATTCGCTAGCGTACAAGCAGGACCCGCGCATGAGTGAGTTGCTGGGTAAGTTGTATGGCAAGTGGGCGAATGCGGCGGAGCGGGCACTCTCGACCATCACGGAGGCACCGATCCACTCACGAGCGAGACGTGGACAGCCAACACGCTACAAGGAAGTACCCTACCCGCAGCACATCGCAGGCAAGCCGGAAGGTAACACTAAAGCGGACGAGCAGCAGCACACCAGCATCCTCTGGACGGCGCTCTATCAGCGTTGCCGAGACGGCGTTCTGCTCCTCCAAAGGCACCCGATAGAGAGCAAGCACCACTTGGACGCCATCAGCCTCATCATCAAGACTGTAGTCACGCAGATCGACAAGCTTGAAAAGACCAAAGTAGCGGAGACCGACTACCTGGATGAGCAGGCGGCCCTTTTCGCCAAACGCGTCAGCTCCCTCGGCCACGACATCGACCCCGACACGCACATGGAGAATATCACCGAGTGGCAGGATGCAGCAGCAGCCACAAGACATCGAATGGATTGGCATGTCTCTCAGATGTGGACAATGGTTCGTGAGCAAGTCGGCCAGTGGACGAGGACGGCGCTATCAAGTAATATGCGCGATGCTCATAGATATATCAGCAAACATGAACGACGAGAATACTACCAGGACATTGCGTGGACCGATACCAAGGACGAGACGGGAGAACTTCGTGAGGCCACGGGAGTGCCGGCAGGAGTTGGCAAACGCTGGTGGCAGCGGCAACAACAGCAGCGAGCAGTAGTTGAAATCGGCCATGGCAGAAACTTTGTTTTTTTTTTTTTTTTTTTTGTCCTTTGTTTTCTTTTTTCTTTTGTTTTTCAATTTATTTTTTTTTCTTTTTTTCTTTTTTTTTTTTTTTCTTCCTTTTTCATTTTTTTTTCTTTTTTTTTTTTCTTTTTTTTTTTTTTTTTCAAGTTTTTTTTTCAACAAAGCAGCTCAAGCCGACCTACTGCATCGAGACTATTACGATATCCAAGATCTTGAAGCAGCGCTATCCAAATTTCGACCGACGACAGCACGTGGCCCAGACCAATGGCAACCACCAGAGATCAAGGCGCTGCCCGACGACGCGAAGCGCAGCCTCGTCTTTGTGTTAAATTCATGCGAACGCAACTTATGTTGGCCACATCAGTTTTATCACCTTTGGTATCATTTATTTGCCAAAGCTGGTTCTAACACAGCGGGCGAAGAGCGCCCTATTGGATTACTACCGTTCCCAGTCAGGATCTGGGGCAAGATGGCCAAAGCGGAGATGCAAGACTGGTGTTCAGAAAAGGCAGGCTATTGGGACGCTGCCATTCAGGGGTCATCAGCATTACGAGCAGCACTCTTATCAATGGCCCTTGATGAAACCAGCGCGAAGCTCAAGGGATCGATCTACGGCACCTTCTACCTTGACCTGGAAAAATTCTACGACAGTGTGGACCTCAGCATCTTGATCAGACGTGCTATGCAACTCAATTATCCAGCCGTCAACCTGTACATCAGCATCCTGATGTACTTATCACCGCGTGTAGTACGAGCCTGTCACGACCACGCTGAACCAATTTGCCCATGGAACGGTATAGTGGCTGGGTGTGTTGCAGCGAATCACGCGGCAAGAGCTATGGTGTACATCATATTGGGCATCACCCACAATGCAGCGCCGCTTGCGATAGCACGCGAGTTTGTTGACGATCTCCATACACGTGTAGAAGGACGCGCTGAGGAATTCCAGCAGCAGTTCCCCGTCGCAGTCAACACCTTAGTGCAGGCCTGTCTGGACTCCAAGCTAGTAGTCTCGGGGAAATCGGCCCTACTCACGAACTGCATCACCACGAAGAAGCACATCGTGAAGCAGCTCATGCAGAAAGGAATCAACATCAAGACACCGACGTACGTCAAATATTTGGGTATTGATGCAGCTCTGGGTCGCCAACGTACCACGTCTACGCGCACTACCAGATGCAAGCAGGCTAGACAAAGAGCTAAAAGGGCCAAGCTTTTCAGCAAGCAAAAAGGACGGTGGCGACGCAGGACGGCCATGTTATTCAACTCAAACCTTCGGGCGAAACAAAGCTACGATTGGCCTATCGCAGGTCTCAGCCCAGCTGCAGTACGCGACGCACAAGCACAGGCAGCAGATATGGCTGGCTTCAGTACTGGTGGCAGGTGTACGTCAACTATCAACGTCATTTTCTACGGCGAGAACGAACCAGCCACAGCCTGCCTCCAGCGCCAGATAAAGGAGTGGATACAGACATGGCAAAAAGAAGTACCTGCCCATGAGCGCCTACGACAAGGATGGTACGAAAATCTACAAAGATTCCAGAAGATGAGACCACGTGGACGGTGGAACTCAGTCACAGGACCCATGGGCGCCCTTATCTTATCCTTACAGCAGTTGGGATGGAAGCCACGCCGACCTGATGAATGGGAAGATCCAAGAGGCACGTTGTGGAAGTTCCGAGATGACCAGGCCCTGGACTTTAAGGATATCATGCGTACCATTGCAGCGGACATGGAGGCGCAGATATGGATCAAGGCCACCGACCACTACTACGGCAAGGGCATGCAGCACGGCATGGGCACCACGATGCTCAAGCGCACACTACAGAAGTTACGCAAAGCTGATCGTGTACAAGAAGCTGGAGCGCTTGAAGCACTGGCATGTGGAGCAATATGGACGGGGCAGCGGTGCAAAGATGCTGGCTACAAAACTGACGGCAAGTGCCCAAGATGTTCCAAAGCGGCTGACACGATCAAGCACAGGATCTACGAGTGCGAAATGAATGACAACTTGAGCATAGAGGCCGTCTTCAAGTCACAGTCGCTGTGCAAGCGCGCACTGGAAGAAATGTATAACGACCCCGACACAGAGGCGTTCTGGCTACGCGGACTACTTCCTCAACATCGCAACCCAGTCCCATCAGCGCCGGCGTGGGGATCATGGAATGGAAGTTATTGGACAACGGCCACGGCAGGAACCAAAGTATATGCGCAGGAGATGGTCACCATCAACCCCGTATGCTGCGCGGTTGCCTTCGTGGATGGATCAGGCACAAGCAATGACAAGCGCATCAACAGAGTGGGATGGGGACTTACACTTCAGCTACGACAGGGACCGCCAGAACATAGACCAGGACGAGAGCGACTGTGGTGATCTGTGGTGCCATGACGCACTCTTGGAACAGGGGAGCCTCTCTGAGGCTGTTCGGGGCCCTCACCCGCTGGGCGTCCAAACCACGGGTGGGTCTTCGTATGCCATGTTGGACTTCGGCGAAAAACCCCCTGCCCAGAGTGACGTCGCACCACAGATGGGGAGCCCTTCGGGTGCTGGTCGGGACCTCTGCCCGCTGGACGCAATACCCACGGGTGGATCTTCGTACGCCACGTTGGACTTCGGCGAAAATACCCCATCAGGTCGCACGGAAATGGGAGGCCAAGTGAAGCAAGTACCGACCGACGAGACCACGGAGCAGCTGCACAAGGATGTGATGAATGACCTCGGAGTCTGGGCAGCGACTTGGACAGTATTCATAGATAACAACGAAGATCGCAACCACGACAGCTGGAAACTATGGTGCGAGCCGTACATGAAGCAGTTCCTACGCCAACCAGAACAAGCTAGCCTCTTGCAGTTTCTCAAAGCACGGTACCAGACCCGCAGCAGCAGCCAGCTCGCCAAATATCTCTGTGACATCAGATGGCGCACCTCCAAGAAGCGGCGCAAGGATGTATATGACTACTACCTCACGCTCCAAGGATGGGAAAGACAAGCTTACGTCCAACACTGGTTTGACAGCGTCGCCGAAATTAAAGAGAAGTTTCGACAGCTCCTACGCGATCAGGCACCCACCCTCGAAGATGAGTTTCCTGAGTACTATGAGGATAGCGATACGGTAATGGACACGACGACCCCAAGCTATGTCAAGCACGTCCTCAATGTGAACGATCAGATCGACATCAGCAACGGCGTCATTGCAGATACCCACCATATCGGTTTCTACGGCACGGTGGATGGAGAACAGAGTGTACCTGCAGCAGAACATGCGGGATTGTTTTGGGCCTTGGCGCTGACGAAAGGGCCGATTACCATCTGCACTGACTGCCAGCAAGTTGTGAATGGTTGGACCCAGCGCTTTTATGAACATCCTCAAGGTGCCTTGAAGGAATGGTGGGGGCGTATCGGTGCTATGATCAAGAAGCGGACTGGTGGAGTACATCAGGTGGTTATTATCAAATGTTTATCTCATATTGACCATGAATCAATCAAGCAGTCCAAACAAGATTTCCAGATCAGCCTTGGAAATGAAATGGCAGATACTCTTGCGCAACGTGGAGCTGAAGAGGCCATGAACGATATACGTGATGAGGTCAAGCAGCTTACTGAAGTGGAAACGTTGTTGATGCGTGTCCAGCGTCGTGCGGCCGCCATCATCTTCGACATGTGCAAGGACGCGGACCCAACCAAGCTGGACAGGCCCAAGCAGCAGCGGCACAAAGCGTTCCACTTACGACGTGAGCAGCGCCTCCAGCTACAAGAAGTTTCTGGACATGATATGAAAACAATGAAAGGACGTTGGGTCTGCCAAGAGTGTTGGACAACTCCAGGCAAGTATAGTCTCTTTGATTGGTTGAGAGCCAATGTTTGTATTGGACGGCAGTATGAAGTACATCGAGCTGATCATGGGCATGCAGTACATGTACCCAACAATGAGATGGTTGAAATTCAAGATAAAGTGATCCACCCGAGCCATTCGATTTCTGTTGCTCATGGGCAGTTCTGGTGTTGGAATTGTGCAGCGGTGGCGTCACACAATGATGAAGGACATGGGCGTGTATCCCTTCTGGCAGCGAAGTGCAGAGAGCAGATCACGCAGAGTGGCCAGACAGTTCTCCGACGTCTACGCCAAGGGTTACCCCCTAAGGCTGGCCAGAACTGGCCAGATGGCACGGTGCCGCCCAACGGCGGCAAGCTACCACGAGTTGCAACTGGGCGACGTCAACGTGTGGCTGCTGAGCGGCGACTACGTGGGTGAGTACGCGGCTCGGGGCTTCGGCCCCGCAGAGATACTCTGCCCTGGAGAGGCAGTGAGGTGGAGGCCCGCCCTGTCTCTGGGGCTGGCTCGCGACCTCACGGGGCAGCTGCCCCCAGCTGCCCCGCTGCTCTACTCTGCCCTGGAGTGGCAGTGAGGTGGAGCCCGCCCTGTCTCTGGGCCGCGGCGGCGGAGTCGACCGCGGTGCCCTCTGCTCTCGAGTCCTCGAGTCCTCTGCCTCCTTCTGCCCGTCCTCCTGCCCCACCTCATCCTCCTCCTCCTCCTGATCCACCTTCTTCTTCTCCTCGTCCACCTCATCCTCCTCCTTATTCACGCCCGCCTCTGCCATTTTGCTCCCGAGCGCCTCTTCGCCTGAAGGAGGCTGTGCGGGTGTTTGTGGCGCTGGCCCCGCGCACCAGAGTCGTTCGATGCTTGCCCAGTAGTCGC